TTTTTTTTTTTTCGCATGTACGACTACATATATTTATGTGGTCAGCAAGTATATTTACAGCGAATATTTTCTATAAAATGTCTATTTTGTATAAAAATCATGTGATAAAATTTGAAATAGATTTAAAATCGAAGATGTATTGAGAAGATATTAAATTAGATATAAATTATAACGTTGTATAATGTAATTTTGATTTGTATTAGACCATTTTTGATAAATATTTACTTAGAAAAGCAGCACAATTTTTTATAATAAAAATATTAAATGCATATACATCTTATATATTATTTGCACAAATCTTGATGTGTAGTGCACAAATTAAAAATCGTTGTGTTCGTTAACGTAGTTTGGAGACGTTTGACTGTTTTTAATTAAGAGTAATGTGCATTTCATCAATTACTTAATTGCAGTAATTATTGTATGATTAATTATAATTAATTATAATTATGATTAATTCTCGAAAATAAGAGCAATTAAACAAAAATAAATTTTATTATATCAAGATGCGTCATATTAAATATCTATTAAATGTTTATTTATCTAACTGATATCTTTGAAGGATTTGAAATAAAATAAATTTGTAGATTATATAATAATTTTCTACAATAAAATTATAAAGTATAAATAAAGTATAATACACAAGTATAAACATAATACATTTTTCTTTTTTTATTCTTTAACGAATATAATAAACGAATATTCTAACGAATATAATAAAAAACATGCTCACAGTTCCTATGAATTAATAAAATAAAATAAAATATCCAAACAAGCGATTTACTGCACTCTTCTATTATCTTAAATTAATTCGAGATCCAAAAAATATAATAGTTTATTATTTTCAATATCACTCGCTCTTTAGAATTTGCCTCCACAGCCCTAATTATTAAATTACAGTGTCTACGAAAACTATTTACATACCACTGTATTTTTTATATCATTCATGTACTAATTGGTCAGATCCAAATCTAATAGATAGTAATAGCATTTAATTTAATTTAATAGTATTTTCATATGACTTCAAAACTAAAAATGAAATGTACAACTTGATAAAAAAAAAAACAGTCGCAGGACATCGCATTAGAAAATAAGAGTATGTGTTAATATTTTCCGTAACCACTGTGCGCTTTTTCACTTAACTTTCATTTCGAAGCAGAGATAATGTCGTCATCTCCAACGATTTTCGTTAAAAATTTAGTTTCATTTACCACTAGAAGCACCCGTTCTCCAGTCATTTCAAATAAATCATTCACGTAATCCTTAAGCTCCCTATTCTGCATAGAACAAAACCCTTTGATCTTCGCTTTGCCTTTGATGTTCACTGGATAATACCCATCTACCAGCTTCGGTGGCATTTTCAGTAGCTAATCATCAACAGTCAGGATCATCAACATTGTGTTTGCTCGTTGTCGGACAAGTCGCTGGACTTGATCAGCATCCTGGCATGATTGTTGTGACTATTAGAGACAGGAGTGGCGGCGACCAGCTGGACGATTGGCTGATGGTCGGTCGTGGCTCGTTTTTCGTCCAAAAGTTCCCGCATGGTAGACTGATAGTCACACCTTCTCCTCTCCCGGCATCGGACCTGCGGTCGAGCGGATAAACTGAAACAGTCAACGTCCCACAATGGACTTGACACGGGCACGTTGTCATTGGCACGACACGGACAACTTTCTCCTTCGCTCTCCATCTCGTTTTCCATTCACGCCATTCTCTGCTTGTTAGTTGCTCGTGCCGTTCTCGAGCTTTATGTACAGCGGTAGGCTGGGCGGTGTTAGTTTTAGGGGTTCATCTCATCTCATCTCATCTCATCTCAAGGATTCGATCGCGGTCCGCATCGCACCATTGACTAATCGTGCATTCCAATATTTTTCTGCACCTTTTCTCTTTTTGCTTTGGTTACCATGAAGCGTGATCGTGACTCTTGATGGGGTACCATCAGCGTAAGCATAAATAGATATTTGGGTGATAAGTCTATGTGATTTGCTAGGCGTTGAGTAAATGTTAATTAGGTCCAATAGTAATGAAATTAAGCTCGAGTTGATTTGTTGAGTAGCTTTATGTTATGTACTTGGTTTTGAGAAATTAGGGGTTTGTCCTCGAATTAAGGGATTAGGAAATAAAGTATAACGTTCAATCCTCTGCAAGGTGGTTGGTTTAATAGTTTGAACAGTTTTATTTAATGAGTGTAGATTTATTATTTATTGCAGCAAGTAATGAGTAGAAAATGGTATCTGATATTTTATAATTTTAATTTAAATATTTCAGCTTCAAATATTCAATGAAATGGTGATTGGAGAATAATGCAGAGTGTTGAACATGAAATTTTTCAAAAGGAATATGTATTACGTTTGATTGAAAAATTGGCTGAGCGTGAAGTCGTTCTCGTGCAAAGTTTCAATTGAAAAGCAATTCTTTCAGTTACTGAGCATGTTATTATAGTTATCTCATTTTTTTTTTATTATAGCATGCTTACAAGAATTCACGAAACTATAACTTAAGAAAGTTTAATTTATTCTTAAATTATATCGAAACTTAAATTATATTCTTAAATTCCTTGAACTTATAAAAAATGAGATAATGTCATCCAGAAAATTTCTGTACACACGATGAAAAATTATCGATATTTTAAATAAACTAACTCTTGTTTAACCCTGTGAGAAAAAGATAGACTTCAATCTTTAAGGCTGTGGTGGATTTAGTTATGAAAAAAATTTTGTTAGTGTTCATAAAGACGTTGAATTTGCAAAATTTTTGACAGAAGAAATATTTCTACTTAATCTTTGATTAAGATAAATTTACGATTTTTTTTTATTGTAGCAATTTAAATTGTCACTCGATATTTTATCGAGTGTGATTAAACCGATTGTACAATTTTTTTTTTTTTTTTCAAGAAGTTAATAAGAGTTTAATATGTCGATAATTCATACAGAAATTTCCTGAAGCAGTGACTGTATTCTACTAATATTTTATCATCCTCAACAAAAGCGTTAATTTTTCATATGATAATAAATAAATAAATTTAATAATAAATAAATAAGTAATAAATCCCGACAGCATTATAGAATCGTTTAAATTATGATCACAGTAAATTTCGATTATTGCATTCCTCGTACAATCAATATTTTGCTGCAGAATTACGCAATTATTCTTAATAAATATTTGTTTTTCGAGGTTCGTATTTCCCGAGTAAGGAATAACTTCGAAAATTTGCAGGGGACATCCACGACTATGTGCCATTGGTATGAACATAATTTAAATGATTGGCTACATAAAGTAACTTTTACGATTTATATAACGATCAATTCTTCACAAGTTGTAGAGTTCCAAAAATCTAGAAGATTCGCTGGAACTGGAAACTTCCAAAGTTTAAACAATTGGATAAGAAAGATCTCTATTTTCGTTAAAAAGATTATCTCTTTTTTTCTATGTACGTTACAAAATTTTGATTAACTTGATCCTTTTTAAAAAGTTTCTTAAAACTTCCGAAGAACTTTTTTAAATTCTTACAAAGTTCTATTAGAAAACTTGTGATAATTTCATACGATGTTCCACCAAAAACTGAAAAGACTTCAATAATTATCTCTGTCTAACGAACATCTCACAATCAAGATCCAATTTATCAATGGTCTCTTCGAATATCTATACCAACTTAATTTGATTCTAACGTTTAGTTTCGAATGAAAAGAAAGAAGAAAAAAAGAAGGGAGTGAAAGTGAGTAAATCTAGCAATGTTCGTGGACGTGAACAATTGTGAATGAAGATTTTAATACAAACGAGAAAAAAAGGATACACGTCATGTAAAATATGAGATGACACGTGAAAACACTAATGATTCGTTTCTAAGGTGTTTTCACTTCTATGGAAGCTGTGATTGTTCTATGTCGTATGAATTTGCCGTACCGAGACGGTGGTGGCTGTGCAAGAATTGGCCCGATTCCGTAGAAGGACCGTCCCTTCCCATTTCCTCTTGAACTGCGCTATTACCTATACAAGAACAACATTTATCAACGGAGAAGTTTTTCGAGCACTTTGCATACTTTAGTAGTTAATTAAAAATAACACTCTTTGTCGAGATTTGTTTACTCACCTCGCCGTTGCAGAAACAGAACAAAATCGCAACGCAGAGGCCCTGCGAAATAATGGGAAATTAAGAAAATTTAACATAGACTTAATCTAAATCTAATTTTAATATTCTGTATTAAATTTAATATTCTAAATTTCGAATAGGTTTCTATTTAACTTATTTATTTATATAAGAAATCTTACTAGAAAACTGCCAATTTGTTTGTTCAATTCGAAGTTATTTAAAAATATGGAAAGCCGAATATGATATTTTACGCTTTATATTTATTTTGTTCAATTTCTTTAATTAATTCGAAGTCCCTGGAAAAGGGGATATATCAGTGTCCAACGTTTCAAGAAAGTCAAATGACGTAAATTATGGAGTGCGATGAAGGTTGAGTGTAGAGCAAAGAAGAAGGCTTGAATTGGTTGAACTTGATTTAGGTTGAAAAGAAAAAAAAAAAGAAATGGTCAGGTCGTTTGTACCTGAAAAGAGGCCGTTATGGCGGAGAGGACCTCGTAAAATTGCTCCCACGGGTGATTTTTTGGCGGTCTGAAGGGAATGACAAGGTAATGTAGACCCAAGAGAGGCACGAGAAGTAGCGTTGCTCTGATAAAAGGAAAAAAAAATTAATTTTATCACTCACAACATTTGTTACCACTTCGCTTGTGTGTCGAAAATAATTAAAACGAAGGGAGAAAAGATATTTAAAAAAATATATATATTTCCGAAACTAATAATAATAACAATGAAATCGATTGAATTTCTTTATCTGAACTACGTGCAGAAGAAGGATAATTTTTGTGAATTAAACTAACTAAATGCGAAGGAATTGTGATTAATTACCGAAATGCTTGACGCATGGACCTGGAGGGTTGCGTGCCAATCGTAGGACCAGCTCTCAGCTTCATCAGTAGAACTCGAACAATATTAAAGAGAAAAAGCACGTTCAACAGGGTGGAAACGCAGACCGGATAAACCAGTACGTTCATATAATTACCCTCGTTGATCCAACATCTAAAATATCAAATCGATCTAGTATTTACACCGATTGCAGCGAACAACTTTCCCTCGAACTACGTCCAAGAGGATTCAGCTAGCTAATTAAGAAGAAGTATTCACGAATCAAGCAGCTCGAAGCTCGGAGTAAAATTTTCACTCAACAGAGATTCTCCTTCTGGAGAATCTGTCTTTCAAAGGCTTCCTAAAGTTTCTGAAATTCAACTAACTTCGAGCTTCAGTTTACCGATTTGCGAAGTAATAATAGAGAATTCCTCGTCTTCGTCGGGAATCACAGTTTATCGATATTTTCGTTGGTCGACGATCAAAATTGCAAAACTTTGTTACTGACGAACACAAGGTTCATCGCGAAATTTGATCTGCAATTTCATAACGATTAATAGACATTCTTCGACGAAGTTGAACGACGTGAAGCGTAAATATCTATATTAATTAACTCTCTATAATCTCTCTCTCTCTCTCTCTCTCTCTCTCTTTTTGTCGGTCTCTGTCTTTCCGTTCATATCTTTGTTCATTAAGAAGCTCAAGGTAAGGCTTCCGAGAAATGACGTTAATGCAATTGCCGTGGTTTTGATACTTGGGCTCACATGCTTTCCCGTGGCGTGTCATAATATCTCAAACGCATTCCTTCGTGCAGCTATGTCGTTATAGAGTCTGTCTGCTCCGGTCGCGGTCTGATTACAAACATGATAACTCTACTTGCCTTCAAGTAACCCAATTTTGTAATATATTTCGTAATATATTGAATATATGCACAATTGAAGAAATATGAATTTTATCGATAATCTAAATTGATAAAAGAATTTACGATGCAATCTACTACTTTCCTTTGTCTTTTTTTTTTCAGTGTAGTTTTTTGTCATTCAAAATCTTTTAAACATGCATTAGAGTGACAAGGCGGAAATTTTCGGCAACGATAGATGAATCATCGTTTACATTCTTCATTATTTCTTCCATTTCATTTTCTAAAAAAGTTCTCCTTACTCTCTCTCTCTCTCTCTCTATATATATATATATATATATATTTTTTTTTTAAATACTTCGTTTTGTACTCTTGCATAT